CAGCTTCTCTTTGGCCTCTCCAAATTGCCAGGATGACCGCTCTTATACTTGGGGGCCATTATTACGTAAAATAAAGGTGACTTGGGCCCAGAGTCTGCCGTACCTGGACAGCGGACCTCGAGGATATGTGACCGATGGGCGGGGAGCCTCTGCAGCGTGGAGACGCCGGATGAACGCAGGATTCATATCCAGGGCGAGGCCGACTGGGCCTCGCGAGATTTCATCACAACTCCAAACAGTGCGCCATTTAAAACTTACGAATTGTTTATTTCTGGGATTTTCCATGTAATGTTTTTGAACCCTAACTGAAACCTCAGAAAGCGAACTGCAGGTGGTGGTGAGGACTGAAATACGAAAGTACTGAGTTTCTGAACTAGTATCTGAGAAAGCGGTAGCCTAACTCTTGGTGGCTCAACCGCACCCCTGCTGGCGGTTATGAAAAGTTCTTGTACCAGGCCAGGAGATCGCTTTTTTGAAAAATTGTTTCAAAGCTATTTGGCAGTATTATTTATTACATCCAAGCACTTTAATATTCACACACACTGCATTTATTGTTGCATGATGTCAATATGAGGGGGAAGCAAAAAGAAACTGGTTATTTATAAAAAATTGTGTATTTTTCTTACATGTTTAAATTTCAGTCACCTTCAAAGTACTCTCCATTTGATGCATACACCTATCAAGATGTTTTTTCCACTGCTCAAAAGGTTTCTGAATGCATCAATTTTGATGCCTTTTTGTGCTTCTGCCGTTTTTTCTTTTGCCTCTTCCACATCTGCAGAATGTTTCCCTTTGAGGGCTTGTTTACCCAGGGAAACTGAAGAAGTAGCTAGGGGCAAGATCAGTTGAATAGGGAGGGTGGGGCCTGGGGTCCTGTCATTTATGGTCAAAAGCCGCTGAACACCCAATGCGGTGTGGGCAGGTACACTTGTAAATCACCAGTCATGAAATGGGCAAACGTGTTGAGTCTTCAAAAACAATTCACTGAAAATGAACACTGTATCTCACAACATCACCAGCTGGTCCACTGATACAGATGGGTTCCTAGAACACTCACCTAGTGGGAGAAGCGTGCACTACAAGGGGACCACCCTCCAGAAGACAATTCCATTTTTATTCCATATATGTATATTTCCATTAAAAATAGAAATTTCTATAATCTTTCCTTAAAGTGTTTATTCTATTTGAGCTGAATCTGTGCATGGGTGACTTCCAACAAAAGCTAGATATTTTAAGAAGTCTTGAGCAAATGGTGCCTTCTTCCATCATATTCTAACTACATATGGGTACAAAAAAAATTCATGTTTTTATTCTTCTTACATCAGTTCTGATATAAAGCTTCTAAACTTGACAAGACAGAATATTTTACATCAAAAAGAGTCCTTTTGATAATTTGAAACTGGATATTATGAATATAAAATCCACATAGAAAACATAAACATTTACAAAGGATTTAGTGATATTTCTTTACGACCACTCAAAGAATTTTAAGAAGGCTAAATACACAGGATTTCTACTCCTTGTTGTCGTTTTCTTCCATTGTAGTCTGTATTTGACTAGAAGCTTCTACAACAATAGAGCTGACCAAATGTAAAGTGACTAGTGTCATATGGGGACCTGGATTGTTCCAGTAGCCAGACACTTCCCTCTCCCTGCTGGTTCTTTACAGTATCAGAGTTGTGAGAGGACTAAATAAGATCATGTGTGGTCAAGTTCAGCACATGGCCTGGCACATGGGAAATAGAACACAAATGCAAAGTCTTCTTATTGTTGGCTGTCTTTGGTTTCGAGCCCTGCACTCAGCAGAATTTATGGCTGTCAGACTAAATTCTAGAGAGGGTGAGTACTCCCCTCAATGTCTCCCAGTATCTTTATATAGCAGTGGTTTACTTGACAAAGTTTAGTTTTTCATGGAATATAGTAAAAGCCTCAATTAATTGGGAGGGGTCCCTTTATCTGAGTTAACATCTCCCAATGGCAAGGCTACATAATTTTTCTATGTATCCTTCTCCCTGCTCCCTACCAACACCCAGACTACACATAATTTCAGGGGCTAATAAAGCCCCAAAGAAGCCACTGCCAAGCAGGTTCTCTTCAAATAAACAAGACAGCAGATGCACTAGAGAAGAGCTGGAGAGGTGGCAGGGGTCGCAATAAGCAATTCCAGGAAAGATCACGAAGTGGAGGGGAAGGGACCCAGCTGGGATCCTTCTGATCCTTACTTTCCCAGCTTTCCTCGCAGCTGGCCAAGCCTACACCCAAAACCTCCCAACGTTTCTCAGGGAGCCTGAGGAGAGGGTGAAGTGCAAAGGCTCCTCCCACCTCCAAGATGCAAACATAGTCATCGAGGAATTCTCCTGTGAGTCCAGGCAGGGTGTGACACATCACCATTGTTAACACCTGCTTGGTTTTTGGTTTTTGGTTTTTGTTTTTAATCCTCACCAGACGACATGTTTATTGATTTTAGAGAGAGGGAAGAGGAGAGGGAGAGAGAAAGCAACATCAATCTTTTGCCTCTGGCACGCGCCCTGACTAGGGACCAAACCCACAACTCAGACATGTGCCCTGACCCCACCGCCTTTTGGTTTACAGGATGACACTCCAACCAACTGAGCCAACGCTGGCCACGGCACACACCTGCTTGTTTTAATTTTTGTTGCACAAAGGCATTTCGGAAGTCTACGATGTAGAGATTATGATTAAATCCTCCTGCTAATGCCTGGGTTTCTTGCCCGGTCTCAAGGCCATCTTCTTTTGAGCTTTGGTTCTTGCTGCACTTAACTGCTGTTGATGGAGAAGAGTATGAAGATGGCAGCTGAATATATCATCAAGCCTAGAAAATACCTTAGAAGTCAGTCATTTGGGAAAATCTTCAGGAAAAACCATTACTAAGTCTATACCTCTTTAAAAATAAAGTCACAGTTAATGAAGAGCTCATTTCTTTCCTTTACAAGAGTCATAATTGCGTCTCACATTTGCACATGTTGCTAATTAGGCCTTCTAAATTATTTAAATGGTAGTTTGTGGAATAAAAATGACAGTGGGGGTGAGTGGAAGGAGAAAAGGTAAAGAATGTTCATTTCACTTATATTTACTCAATTTTTCTTCAGTGCTTTTGGAACAATTTTTTTCATGTACAGAATTCCAGATTTTAATTCAAAGTAGTAACAAGATCCTGGTGTGAGAGAAAACAAATTTATTACATAAACAATGATATATAATCTAAAGTTTCATGTGAAAACTTCAAGTATAAATAAGGTATAAAAAATTAATATATGCAATTTAGATACTTTTATTAGTGTTAAATAATTCTAATACTCTGATTCTAGGCTGAGAATAGAAGACTACGTCTGACAATAGAGAAAATAATGTATGTTTAAACAAGACACTTCAAATGAAATGTTAGTAGTTTGATAACTTATCAAGTACTTACTGTGTTCTGAGCACAGTGCCTATCTCTTTATGTGCTTTGCATTATTTAATCCTCTCGGTAAGCATATGAGTAAACACTTTTACTTCCCATTTTTGAGAATATTTTTTCCTAATCAGTAGCCTGCAATTTGAAAATAAGTCAGTTAAGTCAGTTTTAGTCCAAAGTCTATGCATTTATAATGTCCGCAAGACTACATGGTCTACAAGGACAGGGACCAGTGTATTTTCTCTGCCGGCACATTTCATGTGTCCAGTAGATATTAGTGAATGAGTGTGTGTGTGTTTATAGTTCTAATTTTGTTACTAAAAGCCAAAAGGAGAAACACATACATTCGTAAACTCACAAAATTATTGTAATAAGTACTTTTTAAATGTTTTATACATTGCCCACTTCTACTCTTAAGTTTATTTTCAAGGAGAACCAAGGCCATTTTCCCACTTGCAAGGCCACTTTATCAAACTGCCCTATGTGCCTGAAGCTTTGTTTTGCAGTATTACTTTTTTCTCCCCAGTTTTCCCTTTCCCTTCCTCCCCCCTACTCTGCCCCCACTTCGGGGCTTGGTTCTGTGGCATTGCCCCAGGGAAGCACATGGCAGAGATGCCAGCAAGTCTTTCAGGTTTTCACTTTTTTAAAGGCCACATAGCCACTAACTAGGAAGAGGCCATGAGAACAGAAACATTCAAGAACAATCCATGAAAACTGAAAAATGACTCCTTGCTCACCAGTCCTTTTAACGTAGAGCTTTCTCATTTGTGACAATCTGGGGGAGAAAGAGAGGGAGGGTGTTCAGAGGCTTCAAACTCAGTGTTTGCCCACTAACCTGGAATAGCCTCATAATTGGAGATTAAGTTCACTTACACTAAATATAAAGAATAATATTGCTTCCCACGCAGATCTGTGAACTGAGATTCAATGTCCCAATTATTTTGCTCATGGGTTCCTCTTAAGAGTCAACCGCACGCGTTTCATTTTAAGCCACTGAAAAACTACCAATTTTTCTATTTCAATTGGCTAAAACGTCAAATTCACAAAATTGGTATAAGACCAAGAATTTATGTAGCCCAACTCCATTCTTTGACAAATTATACAAAAAAACAAAATAAGGTAAGGATTGATTTTCAAAGCTCACAAAGAGAAACCTCCACCATCTCTCCATCTCTAATGAAAATACAGGCCTCCCCCCGCCCCCCGTAACTAGCCAGAGTAATTTTAGAAAAAAGGGGCAGAACCACTCCCCTAAACTGCACCGAACAAAAAGTCCCAGTACATTCTGGAATGGTACTGAGGCCAATCCTGCCGCCAGCGGACCGCAGGCACCTTGCTCGGGCCAGGGTTGGTGGGTGCAGTATTTAGTTCGACCTCCTCTTCACTGACAAATTGGAAAGTTCCCCAATGAGAGACTCGCAGATGTAGGGGGCGTGGTCTCAAGGGGCGGAGAATTTGACGCCTTCCCTCTACAGACCCTCCCTCTTTGGTCCGCAGGGGCCATCGATCAAATGAACTACACCAATTAGCGGCGACAGTGCCCCCCTTTCCCCTCGCAGGAAGGCCCCGCCCTCCTATATATGACTCGGGAGGCTCGTCCAGGTCCCTTCGGCTCCGAGCTGACCCTGAGGAGGTTGGTGTCGTCTTTGCGGCACTGCGGAGCCCTCCACTCAGGACAGCTCCCCCTCCCCGGGCCTCTCCCCTCTTGCCCGCGAGTCTCCTCGCCTCGTAGGCCTCTTGGATCTGATAACGTGGGCTGAGGTGAGAGGAGGCCCGGGGAGGGTGATTACAGCAAAGGAGCCATATTCGCGACCAAGGTGAGCTGGGACTGCGGGGTGACCGGCGGTGGGGGGACGGGTAGGGGGAAAGTTTGGGGGCGCGGGGTCAGGGGTGAGCCTGGCCCGTGCCCTGTTCCTCGATTAGCTATCTCCCTGCGGTCAGCAACAAGTCCAGGCTAGTTTGAGCTGGGAGGGGCGGGGCCAGATCCGACCTGTCGCGGATCAGAGGGGTCTTAGCGTCAGCAGGCCAGGCCGGTCGGGTCCCGGGGGCCAGCACGGGGGCGAAGGACTTGAGCCCATAAAGTTAGTGGCTGTCCAACTCTAAAAGTCCCCTGCATTCCCGTCCTTCAGGTGGGTGGGGAGGGACGGTGTGTGTGCCAGGGCTTAGCATGTTCCCCGGGACATAAACGTGCGATATTAATAAGATTGCAGATTCCTCTTGCAGACTAGGTCAGCCTCCCGTCCCGTCTACGCGCTCCCTTAACACCCCTTAAGCTCCCTTTCCTAACACTAATAAAGCTTCACGGCTATTGAGCGCCCTGTGCCTGGCACTTTCCAAAACTACATGTCTTGTTTAGTCTTCACAGCCGAAGAGACAAATATTGTTGCATCATTTTACAGACGTAGAATTAAGCTCATTAATATTGTCCAATGTTGATTAGGCACCTACTGTATGCACTAAGCTCTATACCTACGTGGCCTCGTGTATTCCACAGGTCAGTGAAGTAGGTAATAACCTCATGCCCACTGTCGAGATGAGGAGCTAAGGACAAAGCAAATTAACGAACAGTTTACATTGTTAATATGTGGCAGAATATATACTACCATTTAATTTCAAAGTTTTGATATCCTGTCCTACAATTCAGTTATCTCTTGACAGTGAATGCCTTGACAAGTGTTTCTTGGAAGATTTGCAATTTTTTAAAAACAAGATAAAAACATCGGCTTATTGTCTAGGAACTCACAATTTAGGATGTGACCAACTGGTGGGGGCGGGGAGGGTGGGCACAACAGATGGCACTTTACTGTGACTTAGATTCATAGCAGTATTGGGGGAGGGGGAACATGTCATCCAGCACTTGGCACAGGACAATGCAGGAAGGGCTGGCTGTTCTTATCGTTTCTGGGCTTTGTTCTATATATAGATGATAGAGGTACTCACCACAACTGACTCTCAGAAACTGCTACACCAGCTGAATGCACTGTTGGAACAGGAGCAGAAATGTCAGCCAAAGGTCTGTGGCTTGAGACTAATTGAATCTGCACATGAGAAGGGCCTCAGGATGACTGCAAGACTAAGGGACTTTGAAGTAAAAGATCTTCTTAGTCTAACTCAGTTCTTTGGCTTCGACACAGAGACGTTTTCTCTAGCTGTGAATATACTGGACAGATTCCTGTCCAAAATGAAGGTATGTTTAAAGTTACATTACCCTGAGTATTTCTGAATTTTGCTCAATGTATTTTGAAGGTTGCTAGCTATGGATTGGTATTCATAAACTTGACCTTTTTTATTTTCAGAAGATAGACCAAACATTATGGAAATCTGTATACTGCAGATTTGATTAATACTTTTATTATAATCAAGAATAATGTATTTATTAGATTTAATATCTGACACTGAAAAATAGTCCTATATCAAAAAATTAATTGCAGTCTCCCTGTAGGAGAGTTGGCTGTTATTAAAAATCTTTCTTAATAGGTTGGATGTTTTCATTTGTATATTCTTTAAATTTTAAAAATGTGTTAGCAAAATGCTAGATTGTGATTAAGAATGAGAGGGTGGGTTTATTTCCCTTTCTTCTAATCCCATCAATCACTTGGTCAATAGAATATATAGATCTCCACTCAAAGATAAAATTCTAGTTGTTTTAGCCTTAGACCTACTCAAGACTTGCATATGTTTGACGGAGAAGCATTTATATTATCTCCTAAGTTGGATAAGCAGGACATTGGTATATCTTTCAGAGCTAGTTTAGTTGTTACAAATACATCTGCCTTCTCTGTGTGTCCATGGTCATTGGTGGATAATAAGATAATCTGACAAGTAGAATAAAACTCTTCTTTTAGTCCTTAGTACCTAACACAATATATCCTATGCAGGAGGAACTCAGCACTATATTTGTTCAATTAGATGGTTCAAGAAATTTGTTCAACAGACTAATTAGATAACTCTTTAGACAGCATGTACAGGGCATTACCTTTGACTCTATAAATGTTGCACAGAATAAATATATCTGTCCCTTAAGTATATTATAGTCTTACATGAGAATGTTTGTACCAATAACTATCCTACAATACAAGGCATAGTAAGAAAAGAAATTGCATTATGCCTCCAAAGGGGCACAAAGATATTGCTGAAGAGGAGGGTTTCCAAGAAGGGGAGAACACAAGCACTGGTAAAAGCTTCTTAAAGATTTATTTGACCTGCAACATTACAGTGGATAGAATTTTGAGTGTCTCTGTAGACCTTCAGAAAATGACAAATAACAGAACGTGGTAGTGGATAGAGCTTTAGAGTCAGAATGAAAGTTATGTGCTATAGTATTTTAAAACTATTTTACATATGTTACTACAGAGAAAACAAACAGCCTGGAAAAACAGAACATCCTGGAAAGAAATTTTGTGCATAAGCTGTAAGGTGTTTCAGACCTCATCTAAGCCTTTGACCAGTTAACTTCTTTGGTCCAACCAAAACACTGTGCTTTATGGTTCGTTCTATAGTGATTTTTTTAAAAAGTAAGAATTTTTATGTGCTGAACCCAAACATTATACTGGACAAACTTAGTCTAGTCACTCCAGTATTGGTTCCAAGTGGGGTACATAGGTTTGATAGGCCACAGTTGGTCTTGTTAATTCCTTCTGTTAACAAATATACCTCAAAGATACATTTTCATAACAGTGGGTCTGAGTTCTAGATTATCCTTTATGTTTTTCTTTAATTGAAATACAGACATGAGTTTATTGTCTCTTTAGGTACAGCCCAAGCACCTTGGGTGTGTTGGACTAAGCTGCTTTTACCTGGCTGTAAAATCAATAGAAGAGGAAAGGAATGTCCCATTGGCAAGTGACTTGATCCGCATAAGCCAGTATAGGTTCACAGTTTCAGACCTCATGAGAATGGAAAAGATCGTGTTGGAGAAGGTGTGTTGGAAAGTCAAAGCTACTACTGCCTTTCAATTTCTGCAACTCTATTTTTCGCTCATTCACGAGAACTTACCATTTGAAAGGTATGTGATCTTTGTTTCGAACCAAGGATATTTGAAAATCAGAATGGTATTGTCTAGATGATGCTTAAAATCAATATCCTGGGAAAATTCCTATCAAAGGAGCTGCAGCTCCTTGAGTTTCACTTCACTGTCCAGCAGAAATGAGACTTTCGTTGTCAGTAGCTTCTGGAAGTTATATGAAGGCTAATTCTTGGGACCAGAGGACATTTCAACCTTCATGTATGTTACCTTTTCTATTTATGGACTAGTTAACTTATAGAGCCTAGTAGGTACGCATCTAACACAGATTTAGGGGAAAAGGAACTTCAGTAGATGCAGAAATAGATTTATTAAAATTAAAAAAAACCCTGATAGTTGTGACATGATACTTTTTTTTTTGTTCCAAATCACTTAAAATTCACGTATGGCATCCTTAAGGAGTTCATGTCTCTGAAGGAAGGGGACTTGTTTACTTCAAATTATTTTCTATAAGTGTATATAAACATTAAAATTGACTCTTTTTCTAGAAAGTTGTCTTTTAACCAAATGTGAAATTATCTACATAAAATTAATCTCATTTTTTTTAAAGGAGGAATAGCCTTAATTTTGAAAGATTAGAAGCTCAACTTAAGGCATGCCACTGCAGGATCATATTTTCTAAAGCAAAGGTAAATATTTTATGTAAAGAGTAAACATATTTACATACCTGTTTTTATAGTCAACATTTGCTTTAAAATGTATCTTTTAGCCTTCTGTGTTGGCACTGTCTATCATCGCACTGGAGATCCAAGCACAGAAGTGTGTAGAGTTAACAGAAGAGGTAGAATGTCTTCAGAAACATTCCAAGGTATGTCAAGGTCATTCCTGTTAACAGCTGTAAAAGAGACTATAAACAACTTGTGCTATCTCCTGAAGTAAAATGAGGTATCATGTGTTTGAAACTTAAGTGGCTTATCTTTAAATATTTTTGATGAGGAAAGACATGTCAATAAGATTGCAATTATTACTTTAAATACTGTAGGACTTTTATTTAATAATTTTTAAAAATTTACGTACAGATAAATGGCAGAGATTTGACCTTCTGGCAAGAGCTCGTATCCAAGTGTTTAACTGAGTATTCATCAGATAAGTGTTCCAAGCCAAACGTTCAGAAGTTGAAATGGATTGTTTCTGGGCGAACTGCACGGCAACTGAAGCATAGTTACTACAGAATAACCCACCTTCCGACAATTCCTGAAACGGTTCCTTAATAGGTAAATTTGGTTCCTAGGTATTCTCCATATAGAGAAAATTTTCTAATGCTGTAATTTTCTTCTACAATTCATGAATTAAAAACTGAATTATCTTCAAAATAAACAAGATGGAGTAGGACTAGCCAAGGGCTAAATCACTGATCTAGTCAGGTAATATTCTAGGGCATTAACTACATTTAAGGTGTAACATCCTAACGGTAAGGAATTATCTAACTTTTGATATTGTACGTTAGCCATTTCATTAAATTATCAGCTTAGAAAACAGCATCCTCTTTAGTAACCTGAATTTTAAAAGGAGCACTAAAACAGCAATTTTTAATTGCACATCATTTTGCATTATGTAGACTCAAGCTCTGGCTCATTTAGTTAAACAAGCCTGAGTAAGACAGCAGGACCACAAGTTTGAACCATAAGTGAACTGATTTGAAACTGTTTGCTTATAAGCAAAATCAGTATGATCTTGGATGTTGTATCTAAAGAAAAAAATAAGTTATGGCAGATGGTCTTCACATTGGGTGTTTGAAAACCACCAGGATCTCTATACTTCGTACGACTGCTATAGCAGTTTGAATACTGGAAAGTAGGTACATGCCCAGTTGTCACTGACATACATGTTCTTGCCAACTAAATTTAATTCACAGTGATGATTTAACTCTTTTCCTATTTAAAACTAAATGTTAACATTTAACACACCTACATTTGACATGAATATGAGTCTTACATATAAGCAGTAAATCATTTTTAACAGGAATACTTATGTTTGGCAAATGTCTGCTAACTTGATTTTTTGTTTGTTTAAATAGGATAATTGCAGCAACAAAAGCTCTTCCCTGGAGCCATTCTCCATGATCCTGAAGTATGGATTCCATGTTACAGTGGATTTAAGCTGTGCATCCTCAAAACATCACAACTTGATTAGCATTGATGTCCTCAGATTTGGGAAAACTGCCTAGTTAACATTACGCTATAGTGGAATTATGCTTAAATTGGAATTCATCTGAGGCATACAAACAATGCCAAGAACATAATGTGAAATGTTAATAAGTCTGGGAAGGTAAACTGTTAATCTTCATTCCTAACATTGATCCAACTTTCCATATTGGGTCAGTCTATTTCAGTGCTATTAAAAATGAAAACCTACTTAATTTAAATTTTGAATGATGAGGTTTACATCAACACCAACATTTCACAAATGCACCTAGAAGACATGATAAGGGTCACTATTTTAAGCAGTGAAAATGGTTTCTTAGCATCCATAACACAATAGATTATCCAGAGATGTGGACTTCATTGCTTCGTGCGACTTAACATTTAAATTTGAGGGCATTTTATATGAAGCGAAACTACACACCTAGTAATTTTGGCATATTAATTTATCTTTAATGTTCTTCCTAGAAAACAGGTGACATTTGTGTCCAGGAAAATTTTTTACACAAAATCTGTTTCAATATGGTCCCATTGAGAAGATGTTTTATTGTATTAGTGACTCAAAATAAATTAATATCACTCCGAAACTTGCTAATTTAACACTCCAGAAGTTTTTACTAAGGACTGTTTTTATAAAACTGCCATTGCTTCTAATTTAGAATTGTGTTCAAAAAGGAAGGGAATATACTTTCACTAACTTCCTCTACTGTGCAAACCAAAACGCCTAAGTAAATGCACATCTTCATAGTCATGACGCTGCTGAGATCGGGTTCAGGATTTTCTAGTAAGTCAGTGAACATAAAGAGGTCTGCAGTGCTAACAGTGTCACGGATCGTACTCAGTGCAGTGTGTAGCCGGGGCCCATCCAGGATGACTGTACCCAATTTTGACATCATGTTATGGATAACCATATACTGTAAAATAAACCAAAGAACCACAGTATATCTTATAGTTTTGTAAACAATGTTTTGTGGATAATCTCAGTTTTCCCAAAAGGCTGATACATTTCAATATTTTGATGACATCTGTGTTAATTTTGAGTTGGCAGAGGTAACCTAACCAACTACCATTATGCTTTGGTATTAAGGGATATACATTTTAATAAAGTAACTGAAATGCATTTCTTTGCTGGGTGGTTTTCTGTTTGTTTCTCTTCTGATTCAAGAAACTATTTTGGCAATGTGATGGCAAAACCACAATAAAGAGCTATCTCTACTGCATCTGTTTAAATTTAGCACTAAAGATGTATGGTAGCAGAAAAAAAATCTCTTTAATAGTATGGCCATTACTCAAATGGTTTTTTAAAATAGGCACATGATGACAAATATGCTTAATGTGCACTTAAAATTGATTTTTATACACTGGTTATCATTTAGATTTATCACTATTAATGGATATACTTAGTACCACTTCACCCTTAGATTCAGCCCACCTGAAGTTTTGTTCACACCCTCTTTACCTAATTAAACGACATTCCTGATGGTGGCTGGTGACAGGTAACTGCCAAGTGTTGGGTTAGTTTGTTTAGATCAATTAACTGGTAATTATTGAATGAAAATATATAGTTTTGAACTGTTCATGCTTAAACCATCCAAAGTGGATACGGCAACGAATTACTGAAGAAGAAAAACTTGTCTCCTTTTGCACTTAACTCAGATTAGATACTTAATAAACCCTCTTTTCACAAGTGTTATTTTTAAAAAGGTACATGAACCTTATCTGTATTTCCTTTTATGCAACCTACTATCTAAAAAATAGACATTTCTGATCTAATATTTGTGATTAGCAATGATAGCTTCTACTATCATGTACTATTGTCAGATATTTTATATGAATCATTTCATATAATCCTCCAAAGTGTATGAAGTTAACCCAATTTACAAATGAGCTAGAGCCACAGGTAAGGTAGTGATGAGCTCAAGGTCACATCAAATCCAGGCTATGAGCATTACCTCCCAAAAGAGAAGGTTAAATGGACCCATGAAATTGTATAATTTCCAATCAAAACTGACCACGCTATGTATCATGTAGTCTGGCCGTATTAATTTCAGTGCTACCATCACGATCAACACTCAAGAATCATTTTCCCTATTTTATACTAACAGTAATTTTTATAAAATGTGTTACTGCTTACTCTGTGTGAAACTTGTAACCTTTCATAAACCAAAAACAGGAAACATAAATAATATGAATTAAAAGTTAAGTCAATTTTTAAATATTAATTCAACAAAGTAAATTGAGAAGCAATCAAAATGGCCTGGTATAAAGAGGGACATTAAATAATGAGAAAATAACCAAGTCACCATGAAGACATGATAATCCTTAATATGTATGTACCTAACGTCAGAGCTTAAAAATACAGCACTGAAAGGGAAAATGGACAGAGCTTCATTTGCAGTTGGAGACTTAAACACGCCTCTTGGTAATCTACAGAACCACTACTGGAAAATTTACACAGACTTGGAAGAATGGAATAATACAACCAATTGGACTACGTGATATAAAAACTTCATCCTAAAACAGAATAGGCATTCTTTTCAAGTGCACATGGAACTCTCACCAACCATATACTGGGTCACAAAATAAAACTTAAAAAGAACTTGCCCCGACCATTGGCTCGGTTGGACAATGTCCCGCAAAGCAAAAGGTTGTCGGTACGATCCCTGGTCTGAGGACGTGCCTTGGTTGCAGGTTTGCTCCCCCATCATGGCATGTACTAAAGGCAACCGACCTATGTTTCTCTTGCACATCAATTTTTCTCTTCCTCTCTTTCTCCCCTCCTTCCCCCCTCAAAATAAATAAAATCTAAAACAAAAAAAATTTTTAAAGAAACTTAAATCATACAAGTATGTTCTCTGACCATAAGCCAGAAATCAATAGCAGATAAAGGGAAAATCTCCAAACACTTGGAAATTAAACGACAGACTTCTAAACAGTGCATGTCTCTAAGGGGAAGTCCCAAGAGAAACATTTTGAACTCAACGAAAATGGAAATACCAAAATGTATGGAATGCAGCTAAACCGGCGCTTAGAGACTAATGCATAGTAACTGCTTTTATTAAGGGGAAAAAAAAAAGTCTCAGATCAATAATCTAAGCTTCCATTTTAAGAAATTAGAAAAAGAACAAATTAAAACCAAAGCGAGCAGAAGGGGTAAAGTCATAAAGAAAGGAGGGTGGAAAATAAAATGAACTGAAACAAAATAAGAAAAATCAAAATTAAAACTATATAGTTCTTTGAAAAGAGGAATATAATTGATAAACCTCTAGAAAGATTAACAAAAATGACAGAAATAACCAACACTAGGATTGAAAGAGATACTACTATAGACTAAAAAACATTAAAAGGACTTTGAGGAAATGGGACAGAAACAACTCTATGCACATAGATGAGATAAATCAATCCTGGAACCCATGAACTACCAAAGCTTAATAAAATAAACTAGATAACCAAATAAGTTCTGTAATTATTTTTTAAAATTGACCCATAATATAAAATCTTACTGACAAATCCCGAACAACATTTAAAAAAGACTTAAATTCTACAAATCTCTTCCAGCAAGTAGGAGAATCACTCCCAACTCATAAGGCCAGCATTACCCTGATACCAAACCAAGATAAAAATACAAAAACAAAACAAAAACAAAAAACCTATTAACTAATATCCCAAATGAAGAGACAAAAATCCTCAACAAACAAATTCAGATATATAAGCACAATAATACTCCATGACCAAGTTTGGGATGCGGCAAGATATAAAATGGCTCAAAATTTTAGAGTCAATCAATATAATCCTCCATATTATCAGTCTAAAGATAAGACTGTCAGCCAAATTCTCAAAAGAAAAAGCTAAAGGAGTTCATCATCACCAAACCATTACTTTAATGAAATGTTAAAGGACTTATTTAAGAAAAAGATCAAAACTATGAACAATAAAATGGCAAGAAATACATATCTATCAACCACTGAATTTAAAAAACCAACTAGGCAAACAAAAATACAGACAGAATCATGGAATACAGAGGGCGTTCTGATGGTTGCCAGATGGGAGTGTGGGGGAATGAGAAAAAAGGTCAGGGAAAGTATAAATAGGTAGTTACAGCATAGCCATGGGGATGTAAAGTACAGTACAGGAAATGGAGTAGCCAAAGAACTTATATCTGTGACCTAAGATACGAACAAAGGTGTGGGGGTTGCCTGAGGGAGTCGGGGGTGCTGGGTCGAGGGGTACAAAGGGGGAAAAAATTGGGACAACCCTAATAGCATAATCAATAAAACTTAATTTTTAACAAAACATATGATTGAATCAATTGATATCCACCTCCACCCCCCAAAGAAAAGAATTCTGAGAACATTCAAATCCACTCATGAGAAAAATTCAGGAATTAATAGACGAGAACTTCCTCAGTGTGATAGTGGTCATCTATAAAAATCTACAGCTAACATAACACTGAGTGGTAAAAGACTTAATGTTCTAGAAACCAGCATCAAGAGCAAGAAAGGATGGCTGTTTTCACCTTTTGTAACAAGTGCAATGAAACAAGAAAAAGAAATAAAAGACCTATAGACTAGAACAGACAAAAATCAACCTGTTCTCATTTGCAGTTTATGCAGAAAATCCCAAGGAGTGAACAACAAACACTTCTTACCACTAATAAATGTGTTTAGCAAGATCACAAAATACAAGGTCAACAACAACAACAAAAAAATCAAACATATCTCTATACACTAGCAATTAGAAACTGAAATTTCAAAAAAAAAAAATCATTTACAACTCCAGGAAACACTTAAAAATAAATGTAACAGAAAATATGTAAGTTGCATGAGCTGAAAACCACAAAATGCTGATGACTGAAATCAAGAAATCCTAAAGGCAGAGGCACTCCATGTCGATGGGCTAGAGGAGTTACATGCTATTCCCATGAAAACCCTGGAACTTTTTGTATAATAGATATGGACAATCAGTTTAGCTGATTTTAAACTTTATACAGAAAAGCACAGAAACTTAAAATAGCCAAAACTATTTTGAAAAAAAATTAAGTTGAAAGAATCATGCTACCCAATTTTGACTTCTTATAAAGCTGTAACTATCAAGGCAGTGTGGTATTGGCAAAGGGACAGAGGTCAATGGAATAGAATGGAGATCAAAGAAACCCATATAAATAGCAAATGATATAGAACAAAAGTTACAAAACAATTTAATGGCGCTAGTCTTTTCAACAAATGATATAAAAACACATGGACATCCATATGCAAAAAAATGAACCTCCACCTATATTTCACAGCTTATACAAAAAATAACTTAAAGTAGGTCACTAATCTAAATGTAAAACAAAATTATAAATCTTTTAGAAGAAAACACTGGAAAAAATCCTTATAACCTGGGATTATGCAGCATTCTCAGACATTAATGCCAAAAGCATGATGAATTAGACTCCATCAAAACTGAAAGCATTCATGCTTCAAAAGACACCACCAAGAAAGTTAAAAAAAAGAAAAGAAAAAAAATGCAAATCTCATTTCTGATCGGGGACTTGTATCCAATATATATATACATATATCTCCTCTTAAAATTCAATTTAAAAAAACCCAGATAACCCAATTCAAAAAACCAGAAGGGTCTGAATAAACATTTCCCCAAAGAAGATGCACAAATGGTAAATAAGAAGAAAAGATACTCAATATAATTACACAGGAAAACTCAAATTTAAACCACAATATGCTAGCACTTCACGTCCACTGGTATGGCTAGAATCAAAAAGTCACATAACAAAAATGTGGAGAAACTGGAATTTCCATACACTAGTGGTGAGAACGTGAAATGGTGTTGGAACAATCTAGCAATTCCTCAAAGTATTAAACCTAAAGTTTCCACATAACTTGAAATTCGACTCCTAGGTAAGAAATGAAAATATATCTGCACATAAAAACTTGTACTTTAATGTTTATGACAGCATTACTAATAATAGCCAAAAGGTAGAAACCTCCCAAATATCCATCAACTAGCCATACATACAAAAAAATAAAGCACTGGCATGTAACGTGGGAAAAACCTCTAAAACACTATGCTATGTGGAAGAAGCCAGCAAACAAAAGACCACGTATTATGATTTCATATATA